GCAGGCAGATCTCTGTGAGTTCGAGGCCAGCCTTGTCTACAAAGAGAGTTCACACACACACACAGGGCAAGGCTACACAGAGAAATCCTGTCTCAAAAAACAAAAAAAATAAAAACAGATAAATAAATAAAATGTGATGCCATAGGCTGGCAAAATGTCTTAGAGGGTAAAGTTCCTTGCCACATAAGCTTGGGGACCTGAGTTTAATCCCCAGAACTCACATGGTAAAAAGAGAGAACCAAATTCTGTAAATTGTCCTCTGATCTCCACGCTCATGCTATGGCATATACTCTTGCACTCCCATTCAAAAAAATAAACAAACTTTTTAAAACTAATGTTTTAAAAAAGTATCTGCACTGAATGTCTACAGACTGTTTTCTTTTTTGTCCCCAAACAGTACAGTATAACAACTATTTATATAGCTGTTGATTTGACATTTACACAACATTTACATTGTGTTAAGAATTACAGGGAGGAGGTCCTCCCCTATCAGTGGACTTGGAGAGGGACATGGGAGGAGATGAGGGAGGGTGGATGGGATTGGAAGGGAATGAGGTAGGGGGCTAGAACTGGGATAAAAAAAATGAATAAACTGTAATTAATACAAAAAATAAAAATTCAATAAAAATAATTATAAGTAATCCAGAGATCATCACTACACCATATAAGGGACTTGAGCACCCACAGATGTTGGTATGTATAAGAAGCCTGGACTCGATGCACAAGGTTACCAAGAACAAAGCTTGTTAAAATATTGACTTGAGACCATGCAGCCAGTCCTGATGAGACCTGATAAACTAGGGTCAGATGGAAGGGGAGGGGGACCTCCTCTTATCAGTGGACTTGGAGAAGGGTATGGGAGGAGAAGAGGGATGGAGAGTGGGATTGGTAGGGAAAGAAGGTGGGGGCTACAGCTGGGATACAAAGCAAATAAACTATAATTAATATAAAAAATAAAAATAATTTAAAAATAATGACTTGAGAAAAACAACTATAAAAAATCAAAATACTGGATAAATTAATGTCAAAATCTAAGTACCTTTAATATTATTTTATATGTTGGGTAAATGTCTATATTTAGGTATGATGTTGATAAAAGGTTATATTTAAAAATAATTTTCTTCTCCTAGAACTCATATCATTTTATGTGATATGTTGAAAATGTGCTTCAAAATAATCTTAAAAAAGATAAATGGAAAGTATGTGTGAACACAGATAAAAATAAGTATTAATTCACCAAACATGCTTAACTCAAACATATTATGTATGAATCAGTACTGGGTGCTATACAAAGTTAGATAACACATAGCTGCTACCTCTGCCGGCTAGTATGGGAAGAACCCACAGACAATGAAATATGGTGTACCTGGTGCTGTACAAGAGATGCATAGTAGAGATATCCACTTACAGAAGACAAGGACTCTTAATCAGACTGAGGGGTTGGATACAGTTTTCTATAGAGCCAATGCTTGAAGTGAATCTTGCAGAATAAATAGCAGTGACAGTGGAAGTGGCAGAGATGGGTTGCAAACTGAAGATATTCTAGACACAAAGAGCAGGCAGGCCAGAATGAGATAGCATGGTAGTGTCACACCAGATCAGTACAAATAGAAATAAGAAAGCACGGAGGCATAGGGCCGAAGATAAGGCTTGAAACCTTGTCACAAAGACCCCAAAAAGATACTGGGCAGAGATGGCAAGATGGCTCAGTGGATAAAGGTAATTGTTGTTAATCCTAGCAATCTGAGCTTGATCCCTGGGACCCATATGGTAGAAGGAGAGAATTAACTCTAGCAAGCTGTCTTCTGATATCTACATGTGTGCCATGGCCTATGTGTGTATGCATACACAAATAGACACACACATACAAATATAAATATATGCATTATTTTTTAAAGAGTTAAAAGTGACTGGACAACGACTGTAGAATTTTCAGCAGGAAAATAGCACTGTTGTTTTCAGTTTATAGACAGCTGGGGCTTCTAAGTGGAGAATGCATTGAAAAAAGGGCTGGAACCAGACATCACTGCAATAGTGCAGACAATGAAGAGCAGTCATTTGAATTCAAGTGCTGACAGTGTAGAATTGAGTGGATTCAAGATATTTCTAGAATAGTTAAAACTGACAAGAATAAGGATTAGATGTTGAAGAGGAAGGGAGTGGGGAATTTAGACAGGAGCTAAGATGATACAAATTTCTAGTCCACTGTAAGGCCAATAACCAAAGTATGGAGGAAACATTTGGGAAAATAAGAGGGTAAACTTAGTTTAGAGCAGTGGTTATCAGTATTAGGAGACTCTGTTCAAAAGGACACATATGGAAGCAATTTTGTTTACTACAAACTAATGGTGTCTAGTAGTCAGATACCTCAGCCACTGCTAATCATGATACCATGGACTTAATAGGCCCACACAAGAGAAAATAATACAATATACACTAACTAGCAACAGCACAGATGTTGAGAAGACCTAATTAGGACAACACTGGTTTCAAGATCTCCAGAAAATGGCTTTCCCAGGATGGTCAGCAGCCTCTGAAAACTTCCTCAAGCTCAAGAGGGCAGTAAAATGTAAATACAAGTAACAGCTGTCAGTTTATTAAGTAGCTATTAGAGGCAGCAGTTAAGGTTGGGTGCTGACTCCCAAGAATATATTCAGAAAGAAGAAGGCCATAGAGTCTTCAGTGACACCAACATTGATTGTAAAAAAGGGGAATTAATTTTTTTTAATCCCACGAGAAAGACTAAGAAGGGGTCGGCAAGATAGGAGAAATGTTGGGGCTAAAGAAATGGCTCAAAGGTTAAAAGAGCTTGTTGTTCTTCCAGAAGACCCAAGTTCACTTTCCAGCACCTATGTCAGGTAGTCACAGCTGCCCATGACTCTAGCTCCAGGGAATCTGACACCCTTAACCTTTGCCAGCACCTGCACCCACACATGGCATACATGCACACAAAATAAATATTTAGAAGAAAGATAGGAGGAAAGCCGTCAGAGAATAGTATCGCAAACCAAATGAAGAAGGCAGTATCTCAAGAGGAAAAGAAGGATAAGCTACATAAAGGAAGAGAAAATAACAGTAAGCTAGGGGCAGAAAGCTTCTATGGGCTTAAAAAAAAACAAGTTCACTGATAACTTAGGCAAGATCAACTTCTATACAGTGTTCAGGACACAGTAAGAACCATTAGAATTTCTTCAAGATAAAAAATATTAATCACGCTACAAATTAAAAAGAGCTATGAGGCAGGTGTGAGCAAAGAAACAAGAAAACAGGTACGTAATGAAAGACAAGGAAACTAAAAAGTAGGAAGTAAGTCCAAAGAGAAGCATAAGCTTTGATGGCAGCAAAAGGAAACAGCTACCTCTTTCACTTCGAAGTAAAGAACGGTCGGATTTCAGTGACATTTATATATGGACAAAGAGCCAAACGTGTTTACTTCTAAGAGCTGTAACTTTTTCCTGTTAATCTTTCAAAACAAAAGGTAGTTAGTTAAAAAGTGTAAAGAAAGGTAAAAGTTGTACATTACTTTTTGTTTGGTTGGTTTTTCAAGACAGGGTTTCTCTGTGTAGCCTTGGCTGTCCTGAACTGGCTTTGTAGACGAAGCTGGCCTCAAACTCACAGAGATCTGCCTGCCTCTGCTTCCAGACTGCTGGGATTACAGATGTGTGCCACCATGCCCAGCTTAGAATAATTACTAACAAGAGACCAATAATATGGCTCACTGCAAGAGGGCTTGACACCAAGACTGACAACCTGAATTTGACACCTGAAACTCTTGTTCTCTGACCTCCCCAGGCATACCACAGCACACATGTACATGTGTACACACACAGCATGCATTAAATATAAATAAACAAACAGACAAACAAAGAAAGAAGGGCTAAAGAGATAGTAGCTCCAGTGGTTAAGAGCACTGGCTGCTCTTGCAGAGGACCTGGGTTCTATTCCCGGCACTCATACAGTATCTCACAGACACCTGTAACTTCTGTTCCAGGGGATCTGATGGCCTGTTCTGACCGCCACAGGAACCATGTACACACATGTCGAACAGATATACATGCAGGCAAAGCATTCATACAAGAAAAAGGAATAAAGCAAAAATTTTAAAATAATAAGTAAATGTAATAAAATAGAAAAATCCCTCACACAAATAGGACAGGGTGGACATGAGGGGCATGAGGATTCTGGAAAATGAGCCTATAAAAAGAGATGTGGGGAGTTCTGGAACTTATTATGTGTCCCATGAAAAAGCAGCACCACAATGTCAGAAGCAAAAATTACTAAAAGTATAGGTGCTGGTAAGAATGAAGGAGAGAAGGAGAGTTGTTATTTGGGAGTCTAACTCAGTCATCAGTAAGGTTTCAGACTTTTGTTGTTCAGATCTGTGAGCATAAGCATAATTTGTAGTGACAAACTGAGTTACCACTGTAGCCTCACTCAAGGTACAGTGCCTGAAAGGCAGTAGGCATTCAGTAATAGATCCATAAAACAGACAGATTAAAAATGTCTCAGGGGCCAATCCCATGAGAAGTTTGTTTTTCTGTGATGCAAGGAATCAAAGCAAGGTCTTCATGCATGCTAAATATGCATTCCACTGCTGAGCTATGTCCCCAGCTCAGTCTCATTAGAGGTGCCTTACTGCCATCCCTACAGCCCTCATGGTATTTCTTTGTTCTGCTGAAAGCATTAACATTTCAAAGATATTGAACCCCTGACACAACACAGTGGTCTCAGCAGTACCTCTTTCCTGATAATTCCCTACTACTAATGTCCTTGGACCCCTTGACATTTCCAATAACAACAGTACTTCTGCCTCCCACTCTACACTATCCCTGGAACAAAACAAGGGCAATGTTCTATCCACGTTAAAAGGTAGGCTTTCAGTATAGAGCCCCTCCTTTCGCAGCAATCACAGCAGGCACCCATATTAAAATGTCAGGAACACTTCAGTTAGAGACTACAATGCCCCGGGTCATCATCAACCAGCCCTTGTTCATTTTTACCTGAGCCACTTGACTATGTTTCTCTGGGATGTTTTTCAAATGGTTACACGGTACACAGACAACATTCCCATTTATGTAAACAAAATGATTTACTTGTGTGGTTTTCCTCCTAACCCAGCAGCTGGAATTTCCTCCTTCGGAGGCATATGTTAATACAAAGGCACAAAAGGCCTAATTCAAGTACATAGCTATGTTTTCAGAGAAAACCTAATTATTTTCTAGTTTAGGCATTCATCAGCTGATTCTTAACGGAGCTAGTCCTAAACACTTCCCCTCATACCACGAGAATGCCATGCAATGATATCTGCATTCTGTTCAGATTTTAAGAGGGAAATAAAATGAATTGGGTTTTGTTTTTCTATTACTGAATAACAGAATCCTGATGTCATAAAATCATTTAATCCAGCACATGAAGGGAAAAGCCAAAAGTATTATTTGTCCTAACAAACTGTAGTTCAAGGCATATGGATATCAAACAGTGTGATTAATATGAAATGTTGGTGCTTCAAGTAGATTTATTGAAAACAGGCAAGTAAAAAGCTCAGGAATAGAATCTAGGAATCGATGTAGGAGGTAAGTTTCAGAAAATGCCATTGTGATTTCCCTCAACGTTTACTCCCTTTTCCCTTCCAATTCTTTTAAGACAGATTCACCACAGAGAGCTCTGGTTTTTTAGGTCTATGAGGATAAGAAACTGATAGTGACTTCCTAACAATTGAGGACACTGCTCCCAATATGGACAGGAGCAAAAACAAGGACAACAATGACAATGATGAGGTGACAGCAGTGATAACAGAAACCTTTACCCTAAGCCTTCACTGTCTCATCTGGTAAATAACATTTGGATGAAGAATAAGCAAGAGCAGTGATGTCCATCACTGCTATAATCATTAGAAATTAACCCAGTTCAACCCTGTGATCCTGAGCTGCACTGAAGGAGTCAGTCTTCTTTAAGGTCATTGTATGTTCCTTAACTCCTGTTGACACTGTTATATGTGTCCTCCTCTTCCTTCTCAGCCACTGTTTTGTATTGTTATCTTTTGAACTGACCTCTCCAAGTTCCTAGGTAGTAGTCCACAGTCTTTGGATTGCCATCTGGACTCCAGTTCACAGAAAAGGTGGACTTTTTCCAGTAGCCATTGATGGTACCCTAGAGAGGACAGAAAGAAAAACAAATGTAAGCAGGAGATCAAACAAAATCAAAGAGGATGACAAGAAAGGGAATGCAGCCATGTTCTCTAAATGAGGACCAGTGATGCTGACTCAAAAGGCATGGTACAGGTGAAAGCCTGTGCCTGGAATGATCCACATAGTCCAGAGCAGAAAGAGCTGCCAAGACTCTGAGAACTCTGTCATGTGATGTCGTGGCACTTTTGACAGCATGTTTCTCATCTGTGTTGTTGCTTTGCTTTTGAATAGTTTCTTTGCTACTCTGAAAAAGAAAAAGAAATTTCCAAGTTTTCCATAAAGCAGGAGCGAGCAAAACTGACCTGTCAAGAGCTTGGCAAGACCTATAGCATCTGTCATAACTGCTAGACAGTGGCACTGTAGCCCCGAAAACAGCCACAGACACAAACACATAAGCTCAGCTGTAATACAAAAAGACAGTTTGGTCTAAGAGCTGTGGTATGCCAAAATGTGCCATAAATGAAACTATGCTGTTTGGAAGCACCATGAGGAAGGTTTTTAAAGCCGTGAATCTGCCAAAGGAAGAAGTAGGATTGTGGCTGATAAAGTGGGCTCTGTATCACAGTCCAAACTACATATACATTAGCTCTGACACTTTCTAGATGGGTGTCCTTGCTTAATCTCTGTATTCTCTGACAGCTTCCTTTACAAAATGACAGCATGATAATCACCTAGCTCCAGCAAGTGCCCAGTAAATACTGCTGATATCATTTCAGGGTCATAGTAGGTAAGAACTGGGAAGGTGAGGACTTACAGAGGGGCTAATAGGATGGAGGACACAGTGGAGCTCCTCAGACTGCAGTACAGCCACTGTGCCACTGACTCCATGGAGCACTTGTAGGTAAGACTCTAGTCTTTGTAAAATTTTCTTCTGAGCTTCAAATGTCGCCTGCAACAGAAAGAATATAAGCAATGAAGCAAATGTATTTTCATTGTGAAGAATAGAAAAGAATACAAAAGCGGTCTCTCCAAGATTCATGAGTTATACTCTTAACAGATAACAGAAGCAGGGAATCCAGCACAGGCGAAGACTTAATAAGATGTTAAGAAAAGGTCAAGAGGGAGTTATGTGGGAGCTCATCTTTTTATCTGACCTTTAAGATTAAACATTTAAAGTACATGTCAGTGCTGCCCATTAGAATGTCCTATAATGGAGATGCTCTGTCTGTGCTATGTTCTTCATATACAGTAGCCACTAGTCACTTGTGGCTAGAACACTTGAAATGTGCCTATTGAGACTAAGGAAAGGCTTGTGGGAGAAACAGGGCTAGGCAAACAACATTTGAAAATACATCAGTAATTCACACAAGTAAACAGCTTTTGGAGAAAGCATAGTTGGGAATGTGATTGTATTACAATGCTCTAAATGCAGCTCATCAGAAAGTATCCCCCGCTCAACCTTGTGCTCAAATTCTACACCAAACATTTTGAATTCAACCTTCTTTAAGGGCCACTACATAGTCTGTTCCTGCTGATCCTGTTCTCTGTACCCTTCCCTGGCCACTCAGCCTTTCTGTGCTTATTTCTGCTTGTCACAGACTTCACCTCACTTCTCCAGATTCCCAGGGAATACCCACAGTATATAGATTGTTAGCTAGCCCTTGGTTCCCTTCTTGCTTTTTTTCCCCCATCATTCTTTGGTTTTGGTTCTTTGGGATTTTTAAATTTTACTTGCTTTTATTTTCTTGTGTCTGAGTATTTGTCTGTATGTATGTCTATTTACCATGTATATTTATGGTGCCCATGGAAGCCAGGAGAGGATATCAGATCCCCTGGAACTGCAGTTACAGATGATTGCGAGCTACCAGTTGGGTACTAGGGATTAAACCCAGGTCTTCTGGAAGAACAGCCAAAATTCTTAAGCACTAAGTCATCTCTCCAAGCCCCTGTTCTTTGCTTTGTTTTTTGTTTGTTTGTTTTATTTTGTTTTCTTAGTCAGAGATTTCTTTTCTTTTTATTTATATTTTTTCTTATTTACTTATTACAGTTTATTCACTTTGTATTCCCGCTGTAGCCCACTCTCAGTGTCTCCTCCCAGTCCTACCCACCCTCCCTCTTCGCCCCCTATGCCCTTTGCCTAGTCCCCTAATAGGGGAGGACCTCCTCCCCTTCTATCTGACCCTAGATTATCAGGTTTCATTAATGCTGGATACATCATCTTCCTCTGTGGCCTGGTAAGGCTGCAACCCCAAAAGGGAGGTGATCAAAGGGCCAGTCACTGAGTTCATGTCAGAGACATCCCCTGTTCCCCTTAGTAAGGGAACCCACTTGGAAACTGAGCAGCCAATGAGTTTCCTTTGAACAAGGGGTCTAGGTCCTCTCCATTCATGGTCCTTGGTGGGAGTATCAGTCTCTGCAGGCCACCCCTGGTCCCAGGTATTTTGGCTCTGTTTTTCTCCTTGTGGAGTTCCTGTCCCCTCCAGGTCTTTCTAGCTCCCTCTTCTTCCATAAGGAATCCAGTATTCTGCCCAAAGTTTGACGACAAGTCTCAGTATCTCCTTAGATACCCTAGTGGGTAGAGTCTTTCAGAGGTCCTCTGTGGTAGTCTCCTGTCCTATTCCTTGTCTTCTCCTACTTCCGATGTCTATCCTGTTTGCCCTTCTGAATGAGGATTAAGCATCTTCCCTAGGGTCCTCCTTGTTGTTTAGCTTCTTTAGGGATATAGATTTTAGTATGTTTATCCTATATTATATGGTTAATATCCACTTATAAGTGAGTATATATCATATGTGTCTTTCTGCTTCTAGGTTACCTGACTCAGGATGATCTTTTCTAGTTCCCACCATTTGCCTGAAAATTTAACTATTTCCTTCTTTTTAATTGCTGAGTAGTATTCCACTGTGTAAATATACCACACATTCTATATCCATTCTTCCTTGAGGGACATCTAGGTTGTTTCCAGATTCTGGCTATTAAAATAAAGTTGCTATGAACATAGTTGAGGAGATGTCCTTATTGAATGGTAGGGCATTGTTTGGATGTATGCCTAGGAGTGGTATAGCTGGATCTTGGGGTAGCACTATTCCTAATTTTCTGAGAAAGTGCCAGATTGATTTCCAAAGTGGTTGTACAAAGTTACATACACACAAGCAATTGAGGAGGGTTCCCCTTTCTCCACACCCTCTCCAGCATGCATCATCCCTTGAGTTTTTTATATCAACCATACTAATGGATGTAAGGTGATATCTCAGGGTCATTTTGATTTGCATTTCTCCAATGACTAAGGATGTTGAGCATTTCTTTAGGTGTTTCTCTGCCATTTGATATTTCTCTTTTGAGAATTCTCTGTTTAGCTCTGTACCCCATTTTTTAATTGGATTACTCAATTTGTTGCTTTTTAACTTCTTTAGTTCTTTATATATGCTGGATATCAGCCCTCTGTCAAGTGTAGGTTTGGTCAAGATCTTCCCCTAGTCTGTAGGCTGTCATTTTGTTCTAACAACAGTGTCTCTTGCTTTACAGAAGCTTTTCAGTTTTATGAGGCCCCATTTATTGATTGTTGATCTTAGAGCCTGTACTGTTGGTATTCTGTTCAGGAAGTTGTCTCCTGTGCCAAAGAGGTCAAGGCTCTTCCCCACTTTTTCTTCTAACTGATTTAGTGTGTCTGGTTTTATGTTGAGGTCTTTGATCCACTTGGATTTTAGTTTTGTGCAGGGTGATAAATATGGATAGATTTGCATTTTACTACATGTAGACATCCAGTTAGACCAGCACCATTTGTTGAAGATGCTATATTTTTTTTCCATTGTATGGTTTTGGCTTATTTGTCAAAAATTAAGTTTCCATAGGTGTGTGGGTTATTTCTTAATAATCTTCGATTTGATTCCATTGAGCCACCAGTTTGTTTCTATGCCAGTACCATGCAGTTTTTATTTTGTTTTGTTTTTTTAAGCCAGGGACTCACCATGTAGCCCTGGCTGGCCTGGAACTCATTATATAAACTAGGATCACCTCCCACTTAAGAACCACCTACCTCCACCTGCCAGGTGCTGGGATTAAAGTTTTGTACTACTATGGTAACTTCTTACTGTCATTCTTACAAAGAGTGTATGCGTGTGTGTGTGTGTGTGTGTGTGTGTGTGTGTGTACACATGTAGGAACACTCATGCACTTTTTAACATGGGCTGTAACAAGAACAGCATACTTTATGCATGTCAAATAGGTAAAAGAAATAATAAGAATATGGGGCTACAGAATTGGCTCATCAGTTAAGAGCACTTATTCCTACAAAGGACCCAGGTTCAATTCCTAACACTGACATTATGTCTCAGAACTGTTTGCAACTCCAGTCCCACAGATATGATGCCTTCTGACTTCTGAAGGAAACAAGCATGAATGTGGAGCACACACATACATGTAGGCAAAACAATCATACATATAATAAATAAATCTAAAAGTTTGTGAAAAGAAAGAATAATATGACAATAAGGCTAGAATTTTTCCCCAAAGACCTAAGATTTGTCATTGAATGCAGGGGCCAAAAGGTCCACCACTTCGGGAGCAATATAAGGAACTAAAACTGTACTGGGTAGAGTACTGATCACTAGCAGTGAAGAAGTATGGTCCAAAACATCGTCAGAGAACTGAGTGAACTAGCAGATGGTTGACATGCGTGCATGTGCACTTTACACATTTTTATATAGCCCAGTTCAACTGAGTGCCATTTCCTTCTTTCATCTAACACTTCTCATGAACAAAATTGCTCCTGGCTAACATGAAATCCGCATTATGCTCAAATTGTTCCCTAATACATCAATCCACTGGAACAAATTTGTTTTCAAAGCAAGCATTATGGCAAAATTACCTATACTTAAATTTAAACAGACACATGTGGCTGGTAGCTCCTGCAGGATGGGCGGGGAACATGGTTTCCTTGACACGGTGCTTGTCTGGAATGCATGAAACCCTGGAACTGAATAAAGTAAACGTGATAGTGCACTCCTCTAATCCAGGAGGCAGGAGGATCAAAAGGTTCAAGGTCCTCCATAGTTACTTAGTGAATTGGAGTCCAGCCTGGTCTACATGACACCTTGCTTCTTCATAAACAGAAACAATAACAACAAGGAACTATTGGGTAACTGGACTGATCTCTTCAATCAGGCTTTCCATATTGTAGTGCCCTTCTGCTGCAGGGGTTAGGGAAAAGACTGAAGCTACACACCAACCTTGAGTTGTTCTTCACAGCTCAGCCTCCAGAGTGGAGTCACAATGTCAACCAGCCTTGAATAAAATAATCCAGACACACTGTTAATTATCTCAAAATGTACTGAGCACCCATGATGCATAAGTACCTCCTGCATCCAGTCACTCTGATGTTTCACTTAACTTCAGAAGATACAACTGACTCTCACTGCCCTAGGGAGATGGGAGTCTGGGAGAAGAGTCCATTTTGGTGATGTCTACTACTTATCAGAGCAGAACAGATGGGCAAATTCAATACAAAAAAATTCCAGATTTATCAGGGGGTAATTAGTCATATTCCAAAAAGTGTTATTCCTGAGTTCCTCTATAAAGCTTACTTCCTTAATGCTTTTAAAATATAACTTGATCTCAAAAATATATTTGGTGCATAAAATTGGGTATATTTGTGCTTGTTTGGCTGTAAAGGGACTATTCATGTCCAATCCATATACTATTTCTCTCCCCCACCCCCCCTCTCTCTTTGTCTTTTTGAGACAGGGTATCACTATGTAGCTCTAGCTGATCTATAACTTTTTATGTAAACTAGGCTGGCCTTGCACTCATTCACCTGCTTCTGCCTCTGAAGCACTGAGATTAAAGGCAGGCACTTCCATGCCTAAACACTATTTTGATTTTTATTTTCCTTGCTTTTAAATTGTTTCAATTTACTTTGGTTTTGGAGATAAGGCCTCACATAGCATAGGCTAGCCTCAAACTTGCTATGTAGCTGAAGATGATTCCAGATCTTCCTGCCTTCATCTCCTGACTATTGTAGTTACAAGTGTGTACCACCATGTCCAGCTCCATAGACCTTCTGAGAAGGAAGTTTCTAGTTTATGATAGCCTTTCTGACAAAGATGCACTCTAAGACAAGCATATTTCCTACAATCCCAAAGTCATTCTATTGCTATCCTACACAATTCCTCAAGATTGCCCTGATCACAGTACTTCAAGTACCCTCATGAATTGTCACAATGATACGTTAGTCAGATTGTCCAAACAGAATCTCAGTGGATCTCAGAATCCATAGATTCTGACTTGCTGAAAACAAATGGCATCAGCTTGATCATACCTTTCCTGCCAGGTGTCACCTAGTGGTCTCAAATGCCTTTGCGTCTTCTGATACTTTTGTCCACTTGGGTACATCCTAGCTGTCACACTGGTGAAACTTTTGGCTCTACCCAAAATGTACTGTGACAAATCTAGTGGTCTTGCAGTAAACCAGGGAAGCAGTCCTGGTTTGGAGAAGAAACCCACCCTGGAACAAAAATAATCCTGGGCTGTGCATTAGGAATCTTGATGCCTGCCAATCAAACACACATGGAAAGGCAGATACCTAGGCACAACTCATAGGGCTCTTCATTTATTTACAAACCCTTATGGAGCCACCAAGCATAGTACCAACACAGAATATTCAGTAAAGCATACCTCTTCAACAGAACTTAGAACATGTAAGATAAAGTTTTAAGCCAGACTTAATGGTGTAGACCTGAAAAAAAAAAGGAAGGAAGGAAGGAAGGAGGGAAGGAAGGAAGGAAGGAAGGAAGGAAGGGAAGGAAGGAAGGAAGGAAGGAAGGAAGGAAGGAAGGAAGGAAGGAAGGAAGATCAATTCAAAAGGCTAACCTGGAAGATCAAGAGGCCAAGGCCCATCAAAGTTACTCAGTGAGTTCAAGGTTAGCCTGGCTAACTTAATGATATCCTATCTCAAATTTTAAAAAAGTAATACTAAGGATCGAAGGGATGGGGAGTAGCCCAGTTTGTAGAGCATTTGCTTAACACAAGCCCTGAGTTTGAATCCCAGCACTCAGGAAGTGGAAGCAGGAATATCAGAAGTTCAAGGTCATCCTTAGTTATATTTTGTATTCTGAGACCAGCCTAGACTACTTGAGACCATGTCTCAAAAAAAAAAAATTAAGGGGGGCAGAGCCAAGATGGAGACTAGCACACACAGTTTCTGAGCTGTGGAAGAGCAAAACGCCTGAGTTGCTGCAGCAGGACCTCATAACCTGGCAGTGACAACAGCACGGAGCTGGCGGAGCACATCAAAGAAGCAGGGCCAAACCAGAGAGCAGAGAGCCCAGATACCCCGATCTCTGCCAAGTGACCTGCCTGTACAGGGGCCTCTCTCAGCTTCCTGAAGAACTCACCAGATGCCAGAGAAAGACAGTACCAGTCTGATCTGCAGAATCCAAAAATAAACAGGGAAGATTTCAGATAAGCAAATGGCCAGGGGTAGGAGAAAGAACACTTCCAACATAAATCAGAACATCATGACTTCACCAGCAAACCCCAAAATTTATGGATACTCCAATTCATCAAAAGCACAGGAAAATGACTTTAAAGCCATGCTTACCTAATTATTTGAGGCTCATAAGGAGGAAATGAACAAATCTTTCAAAGAGTTGGCCAGTCAATTGGAGGTAAAGAAAGAAGAAATACACAAAATCCTTAAAGAAACACAGGCAAACATAGCCAAACAAATAGAGGCACAAGTAGAGATAAAATTAGTGGCATATAAAAAGGAAATGAACAAAGAAATAGAGACCATTGTAGAGAGACAGGAATCCAAATTCAAACACATGAAAGAAATGGTGCAAGGCATGAAAACAGAATTAGAATCAATAAAGAAAACACAAACTGAGAAAACCCTTGAGCTGGAGAACTTGGAGAAAAGATCAGGAACCACAAAAGTAAGCACCACCAAGAGAATACAAGAGATGGAAGAGAGAATCTCTGGAACTGAAGACACATTTGCAGAAATTGATACTTCTATCAAAGAAAAAGTAAAATCAGAAAAGTTCCAATCACAAAATATCCAAGAAATCAAGGACGCTATGAAAAGACAAAATCTAAGAATAATAGGAATTGATGAAAAAGAAGACTCCAGGCTCCAAAGTCCAGAAAATATTTTCAAGAAAATCATAGAAGAAAATTTTTCCAACTTAAAGAAAGAGATGCCCATAAATATACAAGAGGCCTACAGAACACCAAATAGACTAGACCAGAAAAGAAACACATCACGTCACATCATAGTCAAAACACGAAAGCATCTTTGCATACTAATGTGATAAATATGCTTGTTTAACATAAAGAATTAAATCTTGGGCTGAAGAGATAGCTCAGTGATTAAGAGCACTGAATGCTTTTGCAGAGGTCCTTGGTTTGGTTCGTAACACCCACACTGAGTGGCACAGGAGATCTGAAGGTAGACCTATAAGAATCACACCGGACTTCTCATCAGAAACTATGAAAGCCAGAAGGGCCTGGGCAAGTATCATGGAGACTCTAAGAGATCACAAATGTCAACCCAGACTACTATACCCTGCAAAGCTTTCAATCAACATAGATGGAGAAAACAAAATATTCCATGACAAAACTAAATTTACACAATATCTACACAGCAAACCAACCCTACAGAAGATACTAGAAGGAAAACTCCAATCCAACGAAAACAACTTCACCCAAGAAAACAGGGCATACAGATAATATGCCAACAAAAATGAAAAGAAAACAAGCAATGAAACAGGGTAAGATCACCAACTTCATTAAAAAAGAAACTAACATGCATTGGTCACTCTTATCTATCAATATCAATGGACTCAACTCACCAATAAAAAGACACAGGCTAACTAAATGGTTGCGGAAACAGGATCCAACATTCTGTTGCATCCAAGAAACGCACCTATGCAACAAAGATAAACACTAACTCAGAGTAAAGGGCTGGAAAAATGTTTTTCAAGCAAATGGTTCCAGAAAACAAGCTGGAGTAGCCATCCTAATATCTAATAAAATAGACTTTCATCCAAAGTTAATAAAAAAAGATAAGGAGGGTCACTATATTCTCATCAAAGGAAAAATCCAAGAAGAGGACATCACAATTTTGAATATCTATGCCCCAAATACAAGAGCACCTACATTCGTAAATGAAACAATATTAAAGCTTAAATCATACATTGATCCTAATACCTTAATAGTGGGAGACTTCAACACCCCACTCTCATCAAGGGACAGATCAACCAGACAGACACCAAATAGGGAAATAAAAGCACTCACAGAATCCCTAAATCAAATGGACCTAATAGACGTCTACAGATCTTTTCACCCAAACTCAAAAGAGTACACCTTCTTTTCAGCACCACATGGAACCTTCTCCAAAATAGACCATATAGTTGGTCACAAAGCAAGCCTCAACAGATACAAAAGGATTGAAATAATCCCTTGTATACTATCTAACCACCATGGACTAAAGCTGGACATCAACAACAACAGTAACAACAAAAAGCCGACACTCACATGGAAACTGAACAACTTACTACTCAATGACAGCTGGGTCAAGGAAGAAATAAAGAAAGAAATTAAAGACTTTCTAGAATTCAATGAAAATGAAGGCACAACATACCCAAATTTATGGGACACATTGAAAGCAGTGCTCAGAGGAAAATTTATAGCACTAAGTGCCTACAAGAAGAAATCCGTAACATCACATACAAACAACTTAATGGCCCAACTGAAAAACCTAGAAAAAAAAAGAAGCAGATACACCCAAGAGGAGCAGACGGCTGGAAATAATCAAACTAAGGGCAGAAATCAATCAATTAGAAACAAATAAAATTATCCAAAGAATCAATGAAACAAAAAGCTGGTTCTTTGAGAAAATCAACAAGATAGACAAACCCTTAGCCAAACTAACTAAAAAGCAGAGAGAAACCATACAAATCAGCAAAATCAGAAAGGAAAATGGGGACATAACTACAGACACTAAGGAAATCCAAACGATTATTAGGTCATACTACAAAAGCCTATATGGCACAAAATTTGAAAATCTAAATGAAATGGATAACTTTCTTGACAGATTCCATCTACCAAAATTAAGTCAAGATCAGGTAGAAAGACTGAATAGTCCTATATCTCCCAAGGAAATTGAAGCAGTCATTAACAGTCTCCCCTCCAAAAAAAGCCCTGGACCAGATGGCTTCAGCGCAGAATTCTACAAGACCTTCAAAGAAGTACTAACACCAATTCTCCTCAAACTATTCCATAAAATAGAAACAGAAGGAACACTACCAAACTCATTCTATGAAGCCACAGTCACTTTGATACCTAAACCACACAAAGATCCAACAAAAAAAGAGAACTTCAGACCTATCTCTCTTATGAACATTGATGCAAAAATACTCAATAAAATACTTGCAAACAGAATCCAAGAACACATCAAAGATATCATCCACCATGACCAAGTAGGCTTCATCCCAGGAATGCAAGGGTGGTTCAACATACGGAAATCCATCAATGTAATCCACCACATAAACAAAATGAAGGAGAAAAACCACATGATCATCTCCTTAGATGCTGAAAAAGCATTTGACAAAGTCCAGCACCCATTTATGTTTAAAGTCTTGGAGAGATCAGGGATACAAGGCACATACCTAAAGATAGTAAAGGCAATATACAGCAAGCCTATAGCCAACATCAAACTCAATGGAGAGAAACTTAAATCAATCCCACTGAAATCAGGGACAAGACAAGGCTGCCCACTCTCTCCATATCTCTTTAACATTGTACTTGAAGTCCTAGCCAGAGCAATAAGACAACTAAAGGAGATCAAGGGGATACAAATCGGAAAGGAAGAGGTCAAAGTGTCAGTATTTGCAGATGATATGATAGTATACATGAGCCACCCCAAAAATTCAACCAGAGAACTCCTTCAGCTGATAGACACCTTCAGCAAAGTGGCAGGATACAAAATCATCTCAAAAAAATCAGAAGCCCTCCTGTATACCAAAGACAAAAGGGCCGAGAAAGAAATTAGGGAAACAACACCCTTCACAATAGCCACTAATAAGATAAAGTACCTTGGTGTGACTCTAACCAAACAAGTGAAAGACCTGTTTGAGAAAAACTTCAAGTCTCTGAAGAACGAAATCGAAGAAGATCTCAGAAGATGGAAAGATCTCCCGTGCTCATGGATTGGTAGGATTAAAATTGTGAAAATGGCCATCCTGCCAAATGCAATCTACAGATTTAATGCAATTCCCATCAAAATACCATCTCAATTCTTTACAGACCTTGAAAGAAAGATTCTCAGCTTCATATGGAGAAACAAAAAACCAAGAATCTCCAAAACGATCCTGTACAACAACAGATCATCTGGAGGTATCTCCATCCCCGATCTCAAGCTGTACTACAGGGCAACAGTAATAAAAACTGCATGGTATTGGCATAGAAACAGAAAGGAGGATCAATGGAACCGCATAGAAGACCCACAAATAAACCCACACACCTATGAAT